TCCCCTGGAGGAGGAGTCTGGGCATCTTTGCTTAGATTGCTGCCCCCGTGACCCGGTCCCAGATAAGTGGAGGAAGATGGATGGATGAATGAATTATTTATTGTCCTGTATTTAAACTATGTCTAGTCACGTAATGGCACAACAAACAAAACAAAACAAAACAAATAACATATGAGGCATAATATTTGTAATATCCTTTATTTCCAAGTTTGGTTTAGAAGCTTTCATCTGCCAATCTGGGCGAGTATCTAAATGTTAAGAAAGATACTGGTGCATGCACATAATTCTTTCCCTTACTATTGAAGCGTGAACTGAGCATAGTGTTCTTATTATAAGGCCTATTATCTGTTGTCCTATATGTTATTTACTTCAGTGAATAAGATCAGTTCTATGCTTGCAGTAATACTGCAGATATTATTGCAGTTTAGCAGCAAAACTGAAAACTATAGTGAACAATTCAACAACCTAGAACCTTGTTGATTTTGTCCTGAAAACAGTTAGACTGTAGAAACTGTGAATCTATTTGCAGCAACTGACCTACTACTACAGTTTAGGTACTGCCAAAGGTTACAGTAACATCACAGTGTCACAGCAGAAGATTTATACCATTAATTGAGTAACTGCTGCTGTGCCACATGTACTGTATAAATTGTTCCTCTTTCCTTGTATCATTACATTACTCTTTGGTCACAGTGACTTTAAAGTTAAAAGAAATGAGTCTCATTTGTTTGGTGAGCATGAGAAAGTGTCTGAAAGTAGATGTTTCAGTTTACCTTGTGTGTGTAGCTTCTAAAGGGGCAACCAGGGCTTAAGACTGTATCTGATCAAAGTGAAGCATAATGGGCTAATAACTTATTATCAAAGAGAAGTAAGTGCGCTGTCAAAATGTGCTGCACAATGACTTTTAAATACTAGTGCCTGTATTGCAGTGACCTAAAAGACACACTTCATCTCTGGAGTCAATCCACATAAGATGGAAAACCACACAGAGCAATATGATAGAGAAGGAAAGTCCATCAATGATGCTCTGCCCATATCAGTCATTAGAAGGCAGTTTTATGCCGTGTGCCATTGTTCTCTTTTAAAAGCCATTTTCCTCCTTCATTTACACTGAAAGTGTTATATGAAAACCTTTTGAGTTTTTGTAGTAAAACATTAGTTTTTATTAAACAGTGCAGATCTTCAGGCAAGAACACTTTGGTCATATTAGGGCAAATGATATTAAAGACCAAGACCAAAAATCAGTGTATTACACATGGACTTTTAAGTTTTAGTTCTTTATCCTTCAACATCTAATAAAAATGTGTCTGTAAGCTAAGTTAGGAATAAGTAGCCAAATGTTGCTTGAGATGGAAACCAGTGGAAAGTTTAAAAAGGAATCTCCAGACCTCCTGAGTTAAGTCTGAGACTTAATAGTTATATGTAAAATCCATGTGCATCATTATCCTCTTTGCATGTGCATTTTCAATGTACACACATGAAACAATACAAAACAAAACAAAAAGTGCACAAATAACTAAAATATTGGAAGAAGGTTCATATACTTGGCTGAAATAGAAAAACGGAAACAGCAAAATGTAAAAAAAGTGCAATGGAAACTGGTGCAGCAAATGAAACAGGATTATTCCAAGCCATGTTTTTACAACCGTCATTATGTATTTAATGGGTTTGTTTGTTTTCTCTTCACAACCTTATTTTCACATGGTTGTTTCTTTTCAGATGGACTTGAAACCGATGGAAGAACTCCTTAAACTCATCAACTTTCATGATCCAAGCTTTCGCATTGCTGTAATTGCTATCATTTTCAACCCTCTCTTCTGGAATGTGGTAAGAGCTACATACTGTAGATATTATAGTTCTTCTCTTTTATGGTCTGAATGTGTTCGGTAAAGCAAGTTAGATAAACTAGAGAAATAAGATGTAGCTGTTAATATCTGTAAGTTTAAATATTTTTTGGAGCAGGACTGCTGATTTGACTTTGGCAGAATATTAAAGTTCTCTGTAGCTTAGTGAGCCTCCACTTTCTACTTAGCAACTGGATTGACTGTGCAGTATTTGCAACCCAATTAAGAATCTTTTTTATGGCAGTCACAAACAATAGTACTGTAAATCTGCTGCTCCAGAGTGCCGTAGTAGTGCCTCCCCATCGCATCCTGTTTCCTAAAGCAAGGACAGAAAATACGGATTTTTTGCGACAAAGTGTACAAAATGCAGCCTTCAGTCTGAACGTAGCATTAGCTAACTAATGGGTACATTTGTGAGTTCAGTACACTGCACTAATGTTACACAAAGCTTGAGTTACTCCCAAATTAAAATCATAATAATTCTACAGAAGGGTAAAATCATGACCATGCCTGGTTGTGTGATGTTACCAAAAGAAACATGTTAGCCTGAGATGCTAACACATCCAGAATAAAGAATGCCATGTTTGAGTGAAATTTGAGTTCTCTGGCTGCTTTTAATGTTCTCACCACAAAAATCTAAACCAATATTAACCCTGGTTTTTGGTCTTTCTTTGTTCAACTCTCTCTGGGCAAAAGACCATGGGCAGCCGCTGTTTAGGACTTTCAGCTACTGAGACTGTTGCTGTGGCGTGGGTTTGAAATGACTACTCATGATTAGAAAAATGCTTACTCATGATTAGAAAAATGCTTCTTATAACCTTGGCTAGGTGGTAAGCGGACAACAAAATCTTAGTGAATACACCCTTAAGATTTTTATCTTGGGAAGTGTGGTAGGAATTTCTCATTTTTTTTACATTTTATAAATCAAGCTGTTAATCAATATGAAAAATAATTGTCAGATTAATCAATAATAAAAATAACTGTTGCAGCCACAGTGCTGCTTATGTTGTTTCATTAGGGACATAACAGTGCTTTAATTTTAAAGTTTACAACTATACCTTCAAATGTCTTAAACACCTATATTGTTCTTCAAATGAGACATCACAGATTAATGTCTGGACATTTCTCAGTTACACTCCTGTCCTTTCCCCGGTCGTCTCCAAGAATTGTAAACGAAGAGAAGTTTGCAGTTTTCTTTCATAATTGCATGGAGCAGTGTGAAGTGCATGCTGCCTGGTAAGTTATTTATTTATAAAAGGACATGGTTGTGTTGACCGTGGAAACTGTGGACATTGTGACCAGTAGTCTGACAGGAAAATGCTTTACAGTATGACATAACCAATAATTAACTTGTGGTACAAGATGTATAGTGCTCCTTTAAGTGGCAGCATTTACATTAGGTCACATTAACATTTCACCGTGTTCCAGGATGGCTTAAGTACACTCATCCAAGAGTCTACTTTTTGCTGATGCACATTCATGTGGAGCTCAGAGGTCAGGGTCAGACTGAAGTGGTAGGAATTCAGTAACTTGCTCAGTTAGAGCATGGCAGTCTTTCCCAACCTTTTCTGGTGGTGAACCTTGAGTTTTGGGAGCTGTCATGTCCATCCTTCTATACTATCTACGGTTAATCTCTCTTTTGACATACATTTTTAAATCATTGATTAAATGTTATTAAACTTGTTATTCACAATAGCAACACGTGCAGTGTGTGTTAAACTCTCATTTCAATGCACATTCTGCAAATACGTTAAACAAATTAGTGATATTATTAGTGGTTTTTGGCATTATTTAGTGTTACTTTAATTGCATTGTTGGATGCACCTGTAGACGATGTAAATAAAGTTGAGAAGGAAAGTTAAGACAAAGTAAAGATGTGATGAACAGGCAGGAAGACGTTGCAGCTTGCAACATGGGGGGAGGTATTTGATAGCGGCTGTGGCAGCAGCAGAGAGGAGAGCAGGGGAGCTGAGCTGGACAAGGGACTGAGATCTGAAGATGTTCCCCAGAGCCGAAGAGGGCAGGTGGAGAGTGATGAAAGTCAGCCCATTAGCTCAGCCAGATGTATCAGCATGGCTGTCAAATCCTAAGCAAATAAACAATGTTTCCTAAAGTATCATATGAACAAAACATATAGGTTCTTACGGTCAACATTACTATAAAGAAATTATTACATTATGAGTGCAGTGAATTGATGATATAGTCCTGGTGCGGCTACCTATTAATTAGTTAAATGCAAAAGTGTGCATTCGGGATAAGGATATTTATAGGTAGCACAGCAGATGTTTAATTTCGTTAAAATTAGGAATAAAATTAGTCCTGTGACAAACCTGCCTGGTGCCCTTGATCAAACTCCAGGGCTGATTTTATATTCCTTGATTTTCAGTGAACACAGTGTTCTTACTGGAACAGAAAGACAGAAAGGCTTGCCCCTTGTATTTGGTGTGTGTGCATGTGTGTGTGTGTGTGTGTGTACTTGTATGGATATACGTTGTTAGGAGCAATCTGAGTTTTAGACCATGGAAGTGAGGATATTCTGGCCAGACCACACACCTTAATAGTGACATGAGCGCTGTCCCTGAACCACACACTGATCATACACACACCCACAGGCAGGCCTGCTGGTTAAGGCTGTGCCTTAGCAAAATTTCAAATGCTGAGATTCTATTCATGCCTGCTTTTACAGTTATCAAAAAACATAATTGATGTAAAAGTTTGTGTCAAGGAGGCAGATCAGTTAAGTGATGTTCTCTGATGCATTGATGGTTTGGTTTTGATGAATGACACATGGGCACCGCTGTGGCCGGAAAATAAAATCAGACGCAGAAACAGAAAACTTCCTGGCTAAGAAACTGGTCTCAGCAGGGCCAGGAGGTCAGTGTGAGGAGGTGACACATTGACCTTATTGTGAAACTGGGCCAGCCCTGCCGTCAGGAACTGAGAACAGTCAGCCACAGTGGCACCTGTTTTGTGCTTTGTTACAAAAGCTAGAATCTCTGTAGGATTAACTGACCTCAGCATCACTTGCACAGTGTGGGCTAAAGTACAAGTGTGTGTGTGTGTGTAGGGCCTACACAGTGACTCATTTGAAGACTAGGTTTTGACAGTCGTGGTGACGAGTGTCATTGCAGCATGCTGATTTGTCTTTTGTGTGTTTGTGTTTGTATGTGTGTACAATCATTTATTCATATTCCAGCTAATAAGAGTCATACTACTGTGTCTACAGTCTCTACAGTATACATCCCTGTTGTGAGCGCTGCGTGATTAAAGTCTTATATTCACGGAGCAAGTTCCGAAGGGATCTAATAGATTCCTGTTGGTGGCCAGAAGACACAGACTTGAATATTTGTAACATCTCAAGCTGTCAAAGACACAGAATTGAGCTTCAGTTGGACACTTTGTTGCTAATGCAAACAATTATTCACTTCCACATTGCATGTTTTAATGTTTTTGTATCACAAAAATGCATTTTGTTTCTTTTTTCTATTTGTTGCTTCTCCTGATAAATAACCATTTTGGCTGGTTCTGGCATGCTGTGCAGTACACTGCACCTACTACCATCCAAAACTGCAGAATTATACCGCAGATGGTGATGTAATTCTCTTGTCTCATTTGCCTAATAGATACAGTGCATCACTTCCTGTGTGCCAAAACACTGGTCATGACCAGCCACGTGGATTGGATCGGGACAGGACAGGCAGACACACGCAATTAAAACTAAATACGTTCAAGCCATTTTGTGTACTAATCTAGGTGTGTAAGGTTGGACCTTGTAGCAAGCATCCTCTACCAAAGTAGTGACAACTTATTACTAGGTCTTGTATCTCAGCTACAAAACATAGTTTACGGGTACACTACTCAACCACACCTTTTTGAAGGATATAATAATCCACACTAGTAGCAGACATAAATGAGTTAGCAACCATTTTGTTAGTACCTAATGGACACAGACTCATGGGCACCAGGAGATACAGTACAATACACAGTCCTGTCAGTGGTTTCATACAGTAGTATTTCATAGTTTCATAGCATGTTTCATAGTATTCCATGCACTATCAAAGCACAATGCAAAAATAGACTTTTAGCTACCAAATCTGAATGTAAACATTGTGGATTTCCAAATTTTAAATGTTTTGAGTATAAAAATGTATTTAACATACAGTTTTATAGTCAAGGGTATACACAGTGTGGTTTGGTAAACATGGCATCAAAGCACAATGCAAAAATAGACTTTTAGCTACCAAATCTGAATGTAAACATTGTGGATTTCCAAATTTTAAATGTTTTGAGTATAAAAATGTATTTAACATACAGTTTTATAGTCAAGGGTATACACAATGTGGTTTGGTAAACATGGCATTGTTCACACACACACACACACACACACAACAATGTACCTTTTCTCTTTATGAGTCAATTAATATTTCAGTTCTAGTTTCCAGTTGTATGCCTGTACACCTTTCCTTCCTCAAAAGTAATTAACAAATTGGGAATTAATAATATATTGCAAGCCATAATTAGTGACAGAAGAATTCAATACCGGACTAAAATCTCCTGTTACACGTCTACTCCACTCTGCTTACGGTTTCTTTTTATTATTGTGAGTAAACTAAATGCATTCAGGCAGAAAGGAAAGGTTAGTGCCACAGATAATAAAGCTTATTTTTTCAGTTCCATGTGGTTTGCATCATTCAGCATGTGAATCCTTGTAAGTCAGTTACCTGGGCAACAGACATGTACAGTATTCTTCTGTTCAGTGTGTGGAGGTAACAGTGTTGGTACTGAAGAGGAAAAGTGTGCGTCATGCACATCTTTACTTAGATGGCATTTCAAGGGTTGTTTCTGGTGTGAGTATGATGTCTCGGGCAGATTTTATTATCCCTTTTCTAGATAGCAACATGTTCTCCGAGCGCCATCCCCTGCAGATACCTCAGACGTGGTCCTAAATGAGATTAGATGGGGATGCTTTAGATATATGTCACG